CACAGAGCTATGCAGTTCTCGACGTAAGTCGGCGTCGTTGCATTCATGTGCGTTTGTCGTCGGGAAAATGCAGGTGGCAGGGATGGTCTCTGCCGCTGGTCATATTAAGATGCCACTCAGCAGTAGCGCCTTCGTTCTTGCTTTCCCTGTTCGGCTTGCCGGGTGTTGTGGCAGCCGGGTAACTGGGCAGCTCCAGGAACATACAACCAGCGGGTGTCCATACAGCACCCTAGGAACGTACAAATACTAGGTGGCACTGCACTGGCACGCCGAGTGTTGATTCACACGTGAAGACCGCTGAGGTAACACAATCCTCGCCAGCTGCTCGCGATCCTGATCTTCCTGGTAGCTACTACCTTCACCGTCTTCACGTCACCTAGCCCATACCTTGTGGCTACGTTGCAGTCCAGTTCAAGTTCGAGACCGAGTTCGAGCTGGAGCTGGAGCTCGAGCTCGAGTTCGAGTTCAAGTTCGAGACCGAGTTCGAGTTCGGGCTCGAGTTCGAGCTGGAGCTCGAGCTCGAGCTCTCGACCATCAAGCCTTCTGCAGGCGGCTGCTGTGACAGTCGGGGGCCACGATCGAGTCGATCCCAGATTCCCAGAGGACAGACAGAGAGAGGTACTCTGCCATAGCCATCCGTTGTGGGCGATGTCCGTGAGAGGTATTACGCCATAGCCGTCCGTTGTGGGCGATGATCGTGATCGGGATCGGGATCGTTTCGGTTCCCTCGAGTCCTTCTTCTTCTTCTTCTTCTTCTTCTTCTTCTTCTTCTTCTTCTTCTTCGTCTTCTTCTTCTTCTTCTTCCTTCTTCTTCTTTGCCTTTTGAAACGAGGTATCCTGCACTGACCTGCAGTCGGCCAGTCAGGAACGGAATATTCCTAAGGGAGCTTGCGATTAGAGCCAAGTTCAACTTCATAAATTGCGATCATTATAACCAAGTTCCACTCGATAGCTGCAGCTGCTGCTGGTGCTGCTGCTGGTGCTGCTGCTGCTGCTGCTGTTTATTCGAGGGAGGGGGGAGGGGCCTCTCCGGAGTCTGCCAGCGGGAGTGGAGAGAACTGAGACGAGGAGCAACCATAATCATGGCGGCGACTATTCTGAGGCAGAGTAGCAGTAGGATCGGGATCGGGGCGACGGTGTGGGGAGAGTGCGGCAGTAGGATCGGGATCGGGCCGACCGTGTGGGGAGAGTGCGGCGGTGACAAACGCGATGGGAAGGGAGTACTCTGTGGAGGAGGTAGGTCTCAAGCTACTGAGCGAAGTTTCTTTGGAACTTCCCCTTCAGACCTGGGCAGGGTGCTGATCCGTCGGAGGTCCTCAGCCACTCTCAAGCTCGGCGTTCGGTCGGTATCCGGTCCTGCGAAGCGCCACGTCTCGACCATGACAGCATCCACGCAAGCAGTTGGCCTTCGCCTACGAGCTGGTGGTATGTCCGCCTCCGCCTCCGCCTCCCCCTCCCCGAGATGGCGGGCACCGGAAGCCATTTGCTGGACGACCACCACCTTCTCCTCCTCCTCCTGCTGCTGCAGTCAGCCTTTGCCTGGTCGTCGTGCCTCGGCTTGCTGCTCACGACTTGCTTATGTCTCGGCTACGAGGAGTGTCCCCTGCAGGCGAAGCTCGAATCCCCCCCTCTCCTTCGCTAGTCCACGTGTTCCCCGCCGAGCGACACGTGGCAGCAAGAGGATGACTCCACCCTGGAAGAGGATTGCAGTACGGTCTCGAGCAGATGCTGCAGTCCAGCATACATTATCCCCACCTGATGTGGAGAGCGAAACTACTCCGAAGACGACGACGACGACGACGATCACGACCGCGACACGTGTTCCTCAAGTCGAACACGAGGCCATGGCCACGACAGACGCTGCAGCTCCGCCATCCCCATCCTCGCTGCCCTCCTCGTCATCATCCAGATCTGCTCTCTTGCTCGATCCCAACACGGCGACTGTGCGCCCATCAACTACGGCACCCAGCTCCTCCTCCGCTTCACCACCACCCTCCTCTTCCCCCTCCTCCTCCTCCTCCTCCTCCTCCTTCTCCTCCTCCTCCTCCTCCTTCCCCTCCTCCTCCCCCTCCTCCCCCTCCTCAACCACTGCGAGCTCTGTGAGCTCTGCATCGCCGCCATCGCCGCTATCGGCTTCCGTGCTCCCGACAGGCTCGGCTGCGTCGCCCGCCGCTTTGCCAGCATCAGCTTCCACCGTGCTGGCCGCGAGCGCCCCGGCAAAAGAAAAGTATGCTGCGACAACAAAAATGTCCATGGAAGATCGCGTGTTCGAGTCCGTGGTTAGACGTGCGGCACGGATTGGCGCACGAGGTAGGTACTCCTACAACTTGTCCCCTCCTCCTCTCCCTTCTCCCGCTGCGTCTGCCGCGGCGAACATCAGCTTCTGGCAGCTTCAGGCCGCCTACAGGCGATGCGGCAGAATCTGCGCCGACTTCGCCAAGACCTTCTATCTCGGTACTAAGCTGATGACAGACGAAAGGCGACGTGCCATCTGGGCGATCTACGTGTGGTGCCGACGCACGGACGAGCTGGTGGATGGGCCCAGAGAGTCCCAGGCCACGCCCGACGAGCTAGATCGCTGGGAGAGAAGGCTGGAAGACCTCTTCGCTGGCAAACCTTACGACATTTTGGACGCCGCTCTCACGGACACCATCTCGGCTTTCCCCATCGACATTCAGCCGTTCAGAGACATGATTGAAGGCATGAGAATGGACTTAACAAAGACCAGGTACCAGAACTTCGACGAGCTGTACCTCTACTGCTACAACGTTGCAGGCACTGTGGCCGTCATGACCACCCCCGTTATGGGGATCGACAGGGACTCTACGGCTTCGACGGAGAGTGTGTATGCTGCAGCCATGGCGCTTGGGATAGCCAATCAGTTGACGAACATCTTGAGAGATGTGGGAGAGGACATGAGTCGAGGGCGGATCTACCTGCCCTTGGACGAATTGGAGGACTTTGGAATCCATGAGAGGGAGATAAGGCATGGGCACTTGACGGAGAGATGGCGGAAGTGCATGGGGTTCCAGATCCAGAGAGCAAGACACTACTTCGACAAAGCAGAGAGTGGGGTGGGAGACCTGACCAAGGCCAGCAGGTTGCCGGTCTGGGCGTCCTTGATCATATACAGACAGATCTTGGATAAGATTGAAGAGAACGAGTACGACAACTTCACCAAGAGAGCGTATGTTCGGGACTGGCAGAAGGTCTCCAGCCTCGTAGAGGCCTTTGTGCGCTCGCAAGCTCCTCCCACCCGTAGGCAAATGAACTGGTTTCGCTGAGTCAGACTCTCTGTCAGTGAGTCACTGTCGCTAGCGAACGCCTCAACTGTCTTCTTCCTTCCTCCCATTTTCTTCCTCCCATTCCTGTAGAGGTGGTGCCAGATCTTCCCGTCATTCAGCTGAGGGGGGTAGTCTATCATTTGGGGGGGCGGCTCAAGGCCAGCCTCCAGATGATCAGGGGCCACCCGTGCGCCTGCTCCTGTTCGTAGCTACTGCACGCTGAGGAGCTAGGTAATTTCCGAGTCTCTCATCGACAGGTGGCACACGTACCCCTCTCTCTCTCTCTCTCTCTCTCTCTCTCTCTCTCTCTCTCTCTCTCTC